TTTGAGTAAAATATGTTGTATTTTTAAGCTCTGTAACAATTTAATTTATTTTAATTAATTTATATTATTTAAAAAAATTAAAGTATATTAAAATTATTTCTATAAATTATTAATTAATAATTATTATACTTCTTTTCTATTTTCAGGTGAGTACACACAATGAAACGATGTCAAAAATTACCTGTTCTCTCTTGATTGTAATCTCTCCGTAAATATAAATTAATATACTGATTTTAATTATTTTATATTAGATATTTATATTTTATTATCTCTATTATATATGTGAAATTTCTAAGATTGATGAAAACCAGTATTCGGTTGATTTCAGGGCTTACGTTCAATAAAACTTAATTAAACGACTGCATTGCCTTTTAAAATCAGTTCGCTTTAAATACCCTATACCCTCCTGCGTTTCGTAGGAGAATGTCATAAATTAAATCAAATTTAGTCTATAGTTTCTATATAAATAAACTTAATTTCTATACATTAATTTACTACTGATAATAACTACAAAATTCAATTGCTTCTATATATGTATGTGTTCGACTTTTATAAGGCGAGAATTCAAAGTTCCTTCTTCTCTTATTGTACAATAACCATATAGTATTATTATCCCTAGGCAATTCTATTTAGACTCATTTTCTTTCTTATTTAAGAACTACATAAGTTATCAAAATAAAGGCTAGTCAGGGTTTTTAATGATATCGTAGTAAGTTTTATCAAACGAGTGGCCTTAGCCAAATAAACAATCATCGCAATACTTAGACTTGCATAGAAGGCAAATGTTGCATAAAAATGGGAATCGGTAGGAATAAACGTATCCTTAACAATTAAGTCATAGAAAACTCAATTAAACACTAAAAACCTATTGGAAGTAAGCAATTGCTGCTTCTCTAAAAATACGATTGAAGAGACACATTCTGTCACATTTTTCTAATCTCTACTAAATGCTTAGATTAAATTTTATTTTTTTCGTTTTTTCAAAATATACCAATCGATCAATATACTATATTAGAGAGGTCCATGATTATATATCACCTATATTTCCTGATGCTACAAACATATGTATAACATATAAAACTTAATTTATTTTATGTATATTCTTTAACTATTTTAATTAAATGAGTTCCAGAACTGTTATCTTATAAAAACAAACCCTCTTATTATATAGATTCATTGCGCTAAATTCAAATGTACGACCATGACCTACGTAATGTAAAAGATTATGTAAATTAGATATATTTATTATGTATTAAAAGTATTTATTTTAATATCTCGTCATTGTTTTATAAATAGAAAATATGTGTGTATAGAGAATTAATTAGCAAGTGGTTGAGAATAGACCCATTTTTCCGATAAGATAAACAAAGAAAGCAATTCAAGTCTAATTATGCTTCTCTATCTGTATTGTACTCGTATATGAAATAATGATTACAATGCGATTATTAATTATTGAAGCCCTTATCTTCAATTTAATGGCGAATAATATAGTGTTGTACTAGCGCTCCATACACTTTTATTTATATTTACATACATATGTTATATGTGGAGTGTATGTGATGCCTCTATGAAATGCAATATATTTATATTGCCAATTGGCATATGTATTGAATACAATAAAATTGTTGCAAAGTTCATTTCATTTGTTTTTAAATAAAGCAAATGTTGCTACAACATTTTTTGTTAAGCAATTTATTTATTCATGCGAGCAATTGTTGTAGCTTCTTTTTGCTGCTTGTTATGATTGCCGCACGAATGAAAAGCAAATTTATTTGCCCATAAATTGTGTGTGCAACGTGCAACAAGCTACAAGCAACGAGCAACGAGCAATGAGCAGTAAACAGCAAGCAGCAAACAGAAAACAGCGAGTAACAGGCAGCGAGTGAGCAAGCGAGCAATTGCAATGTTATTGTTGTATTTGTAAATTTGATTTCATTTAATTTCTGTTTATTTTATTTTTAATTAAATAAATGTATCTTTCGTGTTGTTGTTTTAGTTTTTTTATTGTTATTACCATTATTATTTCGTGTTCATAATTTATTACATTAAACAAATGTTGGCATTGTTGCAGAAGTTGCTTGCACACCGCTCTTGGATTGTTGCTGCAATTGTAAACAATCAAAATTGAAGATTAATGATGTATGTTTGCAACACTTGTTGATTTTTTCTTTAAATATTTGTTATGAATTTTATTAAAATGCTTTTAAATAGTGGATAAATACAATCGTTTATTTTCATTTTATTAAATTTGAAAATTTCTTTGAATATCGAAAATTATAATATAGATCTTTCTGTTAGTAGTTCTTTGTCTTAATGGCACTTTTATTCACCAATTATTATTATATATGGTTAACATTGGTTTTGTAGTATTCCAATTCTTATTATTGCCGTGTAAAATGCATAAGTTTGGGTTGCTTTCAGGACTGATTGTGTTGCGAACATCTCAACTCAATCAGCTCAACTCAAAAACAAATTTTCAACAACAATGATGTTATTTTGTTTTCTATAGGAGTTTGTATGCTTTCGAACCCATCTAATTTAAAACCTCTTTAAAATTTCAAAAACCCCTCATGTCTCAAGTTAAAAATCTATGCTTATTCGGATTTCAAATTAACAAAGAATGGCATGTTACTAGTCCAAATCTATGTGTCTATCAACTTTTCTCAACTTGTCACGGAAAGCATATTGCATTATAAATAAGCTGCGCATGTTAGCAAAAAAGAAATGACAAAATAGGGCTTAAAGCACGATCTAAAGTAGCCTGTGCCTGTATTTTTAATGACTAAAAAGCGCTTTCTTATAAAGATGTGATAATTTATATCCATATCGGATGCAAAATCCTGATTAAATACATTAGATTATTAGAACGATATAATTATATATCCTCACATACATCTATGCAATACAATAATCTAATGTGTTATCAGAGTTTCTCTACAAGTGTGAAACTTGGTGCGATAACAAACTTATTTATGCGGAAACCATTAGCATTTTATGGCAAATGGCTTCGGCGTTTCCTAAAATTTACTTGTACCTTATAAACTTAAGTCTTCGAAAATCATAAGCATCTCTTTTTTATGCTTATTGATCAAACATAGTAACCAAATTAGATTTTTTTTATTGATGTTAAATAAAAACGATACCCGCCACATAATCACCTAATATGAATAGATTGGAAATACTCTAATTCAAAAAAAATCGATGATGAAATAAATTATTTCAATTTAAAGACATTAATGAAAGTAGTACATGTAGACCTTCTTAAGAATTGTGTAAATACTTCTTAATAGAGTTTCCATAAGTAATCCATCTTCCATCTGCCAGACCTGTCAAAGACTCAGTCAATCCCTTTTCTTTAGAGTGATTAACAATTCATTATTCCTACCAATCTCTGTAGGATGTAAAATAAATTTAAATCAAAACTAAATGAATATAATTAAATATATAAATTGAAATTAACCATTGACAATTGCAGTGTTATAAATTAAAATAGCCGAGCGTTGTAAAAAAAAAAACATTCCGCTCATATTCACTATTTTAAAATGCACTTAAAATTTCGTGTATAAATTGGGAATGATGGAAAAAAATTCATCATGCCACAAACATGGTCAATTTTTCATTAACTTGAACAAGTAACATGCTTAAATGTTTAATTCAATTGTGCAATTTTAATTAAGATACGTCAATTTCCATTTGCAAAATTCGCTGAATTAACTTATACCCTGCATAATCAGCAGCGAATAGTTGTTGCAAAGCGGCAAGAGCGTTGCCAGCGTTGCCAGCATTGCCAGCAACAGCAGAAACCGCAATAATTATAATAAATGCAACAATAATGAAATGTTTTAGTTAATTTATGGTTGCATGATTTCGCATATCGGCCGGGGTTTATTTGGAACATGAATATGCGTCTCGAAATGAATTGAAAGTAAATTTAAAATTTTATTTACAACAATAAAATATAAAAATAATTTATTTAAATTTGTAGTAGGAAAAACCAAATAGAATATAATAATAATGTAATAGAAAAATTATTGAACTAAAATATAATTTGCATAGAAGGCAAAGCAGCAGTATTATAAAAATTCTAGTCTTGCCTCGTATTAAACTCCACTTAAGTGAAAACATATAAAGTTCCTTAAGCACTGTTAGCTGTTAGTCTTGCGGTCTTAGTCGCTTAGTCGCTTAGTCGTAGCGTCGTAGTCATAGTCGAAACCAGTTTCGGTTTAGTTAAGTTTTTGTTCTCTACTTTTTAGAAACAGATCAATTTACTAGAGAGCAGCAGAAAAAAA